CTTGAAATCTATTTAATTTCTAGATGTCAAACACATGGATTTGGTGGATGGTTATGTAAAGTGTTTGGCTAAAATGTTTCTACTCTCTTAATTTGACAATTACTAGCAGACTAACCTACTGAGTACTGGTACACAGAACACAGAAACCCCCTAACAGCTTAAATAGAATTGCAGTCAACTACTTGCTTCTCACCAAATTCATTCGAGTCCATCCTTACTTTCCTTTTTTCTTCTACACAGGAAGTCCAGTTACCCGATGGGCATCTGTAGCATTTGGTGCGGGGTTGGGTATTGGATCAGCATACACAGATTGCTCATACATATTTGGTGCCTCTCCTCCAAAAGTTTCATCTTCAAAAATCTCTGCTATATTTACTGGTCCTCCTCCTCGGGTAAGATCTATGCTTACTCATTTGCTGCTACAAATAATCTATGTTCACAATCTAGTGCTTTGTTGCCAATCTGTAACCCTTTACTGAATATTAGTAAAGATAGAATTGTGGTAACAAATTTAGTAACAAAATGCTATGTTATAATATATTTAATAATGTGCATAATGTAATATAAAATATAGTTTTGAAATAATATAATTGCTAAAGAGCACGGACAGATATTGTAATAGTATGCCATGACTAAGGGAGAAACTAAAATGATAAAATATAATAAAAGAAGAACATTCATTATCCGTACATGGTATATTCAGCATCGTACGCAGTGGAAACCAGTTGAAAATTGATATGACATGCTTAATCCACATGATATAAATTCAGACGAGTAGCTATGAAAGAAGATAGTACTTGGCACAAGAAGATACTATGACTAGCAATAAAAGAGTAGCTATGAAAGGTCTACCAACCAGTTTTAAGTATTAGAGCAGGACAAAGATATTAGGTACTTGAATCATAAACCAAAATATGCACAATGAAAGAAAAAGCAATTACTATAGCAATCATCCCATAAAATTATTGTGATTGTGGGACGTGCCTAAAAACAGAAATTCGAGTTGCGGAAAGAGAATCCAAGTACTAGTTGATAGGGTTTTAGTATTCAGTCTTAAGATGCTAAATTTAGATGATTTTTCCAGTTTTAGTGTTGGAATGAGATTGGAAGATTACAGTGAACTCCAAGTAATCAAAATGGAATATTTTTCAATATCTGGGACACTGAATAGCCTACAATCAACCCAAGTAGAGAGGCATCTCAATTTATCCTTCTGTTTGCTCGTGTCCAGTGCATCTCATGTTTTATGATTCAGGTATTGTCGTCTTAGTTAATGGAGGCATTCTTTTATGCATTCTGTTTTTAATTGATCTACTACTTAAATGTAGGAGGATGATGAATGACCGGGTGATAGCATCAAAAAATTCTGACAACATTGGTCAATTGCTCGGAAAAAAATGATGATCTTAGAGCATGTTTATTTTCTCTTTTTTTGTATTAATGTCAAAGTTGTTCCCACCTGGATGGATTGCGAAGCAGATAATGAATGCTAATGATTAACTTGGTGACATGCCATGGTTATGCACAACAGAAAATAATCGCTTTATGAGCATAAACAATAACAGCAAGGCTGTTTGATCATTCTAATAGTCGAAGGAGAATTCTTTTGATGGTTCAAGTAGTAATTTGCATGTTTTAGCTGGAAAAGGATTGACAAGAGGGACAAGAAAAAAGTGCTCATATTTGTTGAGTAAAATGGTTATTTTTTTTACGTGAAAAATTAGTTTTATTTTTTTTGGTTTATACGAAAATAATTTTTGAGTCATTTTAAGTTAGTGTACATGTTCATGTTCATGTCCATGTTCATGACATCTTTGACCCTTCAGGGTTAAATCTTTGATATTGTATTCTATCAAAATGTAGGCCTCAACAGAAATCTATCCATTGATTTCATCATACTTATTTCCAGGTTGAATTAACTATCTAGATTCTCTAATACGATCAACTTGGATGCTAATATGTATCAGATGAATTCGGGAACACTTTCTTTTCTGATTGTTTTCATCCTAAATCTGATTTAAAGGCATCATAAAGTAGCTTTATTGATCTGATATGCATGGGCGTTGAAGTACAAAAAATTGACTTACTGCCAATTTATGATTGTCCAAATCATAAAAGTAAGACGCTAACCATATCCAAACCCGATTACGGAACTCTGTATCAAGTTACAAATTTTGACCTTACGATCATCTGATAAATTTTTTACAACTAAACTAGCTAACATTTTTTCACGTCATTCTCTCCATCACTCTCTTAGGTTTGATGATCAATCTGAATAAAAAATTACGTTCAAATCTCATACGCAAGTGTCACTTTTTAAAATAACTAGTAAAATAGGCAATAAGAAAGAAAATAATAAAAAAAAAACATCGTTCTTGAATTTCTAAGCATTATTAGCCCCAAAAAAAAACGAATTACATGCTTACACCAAAATATCATATGAAAGATTCAGATCATTTGGTTTGGAGATCCAAAAGAAGAAAAGAAAAACCCCAAGTGTTAATCATTTGATTGACATTCTCTTGAAACAAGATTCCAGCACAATCTTTGATGTTGATAGCAGACGGTCGATCATTATCCATTATCCGACATTTATCCTCGTATAGAGATTAGTGTGAAGAGAAAAGGTCCCAATCACCCTTTGCTAGTCCAAGGAGACCGTTTGATCTCTCCTCCCGTCACCAATGTGGACAAAACGTTAAAGAGAAACGTTGGGACAATTGTAGGCCATCTCTTTCATAGATCAAGTCTAAAAGCTAACCTCCGGGGTTGTGTCGATGCTCTCTTTTCGAGAAAAAACTCATACCCTAGAAAGAACTTTGAACTAACTTGAACTTTGAATGGATCGGATCAAAAAACTTCTTCCGACATCGATCTTAGTGCAAGTGATGCCTTGGAAGCTCGACCCCCACCTCGGAGCCACTTCGGATGCTCCTACGCCTTCGAGTTTAGACTACGTCGAGTTAACTAAGACGTTGACGATGATTTTCTCTAATATTTTGGTGCTAGAAGGAGGGCCTAATGTTACTTAAACGTTCACCCGCCAATCCTCTTAATGAATGCTCTAGCAAGGAGACCTTTCCTCTGCCTCTTACCCCTAGGGACGAATTAAGCTACTTGCTCATCCCCTCCGAGTTGTTTTTGAACCTCACCCATTAGGTGCAAATGCTCACGTGCATGATGTAGGCTATCGCCCTGCTCCTGCCTCAACTAACTCAACAAGTTATACCACTATCTCAGTCAGAATCGACACCTCAACCACCATTGGCATCGGCACCCATTAAAAGCCCCTCGACTGACGTCATGCTAACATCTTAAGATCACTCAAGGCCCACGAAACTGCCAACAAAAGGAGCACCCCGCTCCCCAACCGTTGAGTTCAGCACATTGCTATACCACTACTCTACTCCGCTCGAATCCAAGACCCAATCGATGGATTCGATAGATGACTCCCTGAGGGTCTAGCTACAATAAATAGACCAATGCTCAGACGAGATACGACGGGAGTTCCAACAGTCCAAGGGGGAGAATTAGATCGATCCTACCTTGAATGGATCCCCATTCACCTAGAACATATAGGAGGAACCAATTCCGACTAACTTTCGCCTTCCATCATTGGAACCACTCTTGGTTGGCTCCTTCGCTCAGCTTGCAAAGGAGTTCGAGCTCTACTTCCCCAGGAATATATGCTCGAGGCCATCAGCGACGATGTTGCTTAAACTTAGGTAAGGGGAAGAAGAGATACTCTCCGACTTTGTTACTCGATTCACTAACGAAATATGAGGCATATGAGTCGAGAAACCCGATCTACGTCAAGATAAATCTGCTAAGGCAAATGTGCGGGGCCAAACATGCTCAAGGCATGTGAGTCAAAAAATCCGACTTGCGCTAAGATAAATCCATTACGACGGAGGCACAAGGCTAAATGTGCCTTAGGCATGTGAGTCGAGAAATCCGACTTACGTCAAGATAAATCTGCTATAGCGGAGATGTATGGCTAAATATGCTTGAGGCGTGTGAGTTAGGAAACCCGACTTGCGCTAAGATAAATTCGCTATAGCAAAGGTGTAGTTCCAAATGTGCTCGAGGCGTGTGAGTTGAGAAACCCGACCCACGCTAGGATAAACCTGTTATAGCCGAGGTGTAGGGCCAAATGTGCCCAAGGCATGTGAGTCAAGAAATCCGAGCCATGTTAAGATAAATCCATTATGGTTGAGGCGTAAGGTCAAATGTGCTCAAGGCGTGTGAGTCAAAAATCTCGACTCATGCCTATTGGTATCTCCTTCACGCTATAGAGGAACAGGTTAGCGATAAGCCTATCAAGTGAATTGAATGTCGTACTTCAGACCCCTCTAATAGGAGCCTCAAAACACGCCTTGGAAGGAGGAGAGAGGGGGGGGGGGGGACAAACGATATGGAACATGTTGATGGTTAATCACTATCCCACACTTGTCGCCATATGGAGGCTGGCATAGAAAGAAAAGGTCCTCGACACCCTCCACTTGTCTGCTTCTGTGGACAACAATCTATAGGAGGTTGTTCAGACCTATCTCCCCTTGTCGCCCACATGAACAAAACGTCAAAGGGGGGACATACGTTGGGGTAGTTGCAGGCTATCCCCTCCATAGATAAAGTATAAAAGCTAACCCTCGATCCATACCGAGGGATTATATTTTCGATAAAAATTCATACCCCAAAATAGACCTTACATTAACTTAAACATCGACGGGATTAAGATAAAAAATTTCTCTCAATAACGGTCTTAGTGCATGTTACATTTCGAAATCTCGACCCCCCACCTTATATACACCTCGGAGCCACTTCAGACGCTCCTGTGCGTTTGGACCATGTCCAACTGACTTGGACATGGACAACGATTTCCCCAAACAGGTGTCATACAATATTTATTCCACATTTGCCAAAAGGTGGCCAGACCAAATCACATGTGCCTGCAACAACAAACTATGAGAATTATTCCGTGCCATTTCAACCACTGCCAATTTCTGGAATTCTCATATTTTATTCCAAAGGTTTGTATCCGGTAGTCTTTCCAGACCAGACTGAAGATACTACACTCCAAACGACCTTGCCACAAGATAATACAAATATACCATTATGGGTTTCTTTACTTGGTCACCTTCTTCACTTAACAAGAGAAATAGACAGTTCTACAGTTAAACATGGATCAAACAGACGAAGAAGATGCTAACCAAATCCCTTATCTACTATGGGAGCCAGGTGGCCTGTTGGATCCCCAGAAACCAGATGCAAATATTAATCCAGCTCCTTTTACTTGGCATTCTCTATGAAACCTTTTATATCGAAAGCCTCATCGCTAGCCTTTTTTATGATGACACCCTGTACATTGAAAAAAAGACAAATGTTAGTGGAAAAAATAATCACAAACAGATCTACAGGGACCTCCTTATCAGAATAACCAAATGATTTGATTTTCCAATCCAAATGAAGAAAAAGCAAGCACCAGAAAGAGGCTTGGCCACATAAATGATTGGATTTTCCAATCCAAGTTGGCTACTTGCTTCACCCACCTATATCGGCATTCATGCATTGAGCTCAACAAAAAGCATAAGCCCAAGATTGTGTAAACTTGGATTATATTTCTGTCTATTTGCAATGGCATCATAAAACCATTATGTTTCTACGAGTGTTCTGGAATACAGAGGGTATCATCAAAGTAATAAAAGTAACAGAATAATCTAAGGTCATGGTTATTGCTAAATTGTGATACCTTTTCAGTTATTATGGCTGTTATAAGTCTTGCCGGGGTAACATCGAAAGCCGGGTTCCAAACTGAAATCCCAGAAGCAGCAACTTGCTTTCCTCGTCCTCCATCAGAATGCAACAACTCCTTTGCTGATCGTTCCTCTATAACAATTTGTTCTCCTGAAGAAATTGAGAGATCTATAGATGTTATCGGTGCAGCAACATAGAATTGTATCCCATGGTGAAATGCTGAGAGCGCAACATTGTAGGTTCCAATTTTGTTGGCAGTATCACCTGGAAAGCAATTCATGCACTATATTAACACCTCTTTTTCCTGGGTAATTATGCGCTATATATGTATTCACATTCAATTAACAATTTAGTTTTCCATTTTGCTCATATGTACCATTTGCAGCAATACGGTCAGCACCAACGATGACTGCATTGACACACCCAGCTTTCATCAAAGCTGCCACAGCAGAGTCAGCTATCAAAGTTGCAGGTATTCGGTCATGAACAAGTTCAAAGGCTGTGAGCCTGGAACCCTGCAATTTAATTGTGTATTGAAAGCAAACAGAGAAATCAAATGGTCAGTTGATATATTATAAGAAAATGAACATATTAATCAACAAGATTGAAGGATGGACTAAACCTATAAAAAATGAAAATCTCATTCCAAAATACTTCTAAGTAATAAATAAAATCAAATAGATTAAGTACAAAAAATAATAGTACGGAAACATAACAGGATGGCCCAAAGTTTTTAAAAAATTGCAAAAGCATCACAACAAGAAAAAATTACTCCTTTGAACTTCATGACCATTAAACTTTAACATCGAAGAAATGATTAAAATTCTAAAATATCTTAACACTATTTTTACTAAGCTTCCTTAAAGGAATATTCTTTGAAATTTCCTTTATATCATTGTTAAATGTGCTCAAAGGAACTTGAATGCACATACATGGTTTCAGAGTACAGGGATTTAAAAAATGAAGAATTGACAGACTAATATACATGTTCCTAATGGACTATTGCTCAAAAAAAAAATTTACAGAAAGACTCCTAATCAACGAACAGGAAATGCAGCTCCACTGCCAGTAATGACAAGAAAAGAACAACAGTGAACTAAGCTATTGATCTTCATATGTGGTTGATGACAAGACGAAAAAAAAAGCAACAAAACTGAGCACCATAGTTTCAAGCAAACAAATGAAAAATAAAACCAAGAAATTAAAACAAGTTCAACTGTAGTGCTGCAACGTGCCTGGTTAAATGGTCGTGTTTCGGTGCAGAAAGCTTTTTCTAAGAATCCTTCACTCCGAAGGGCACGAATAACACCAAGTGCAGTTCCATATCCAGCAGTAGCAAGACTGTCAAATTGAAAAGAAAGAACAACAATGCATGATATTCTTGTTAATCATATTAGACAAAAGGGTGGCCCAGTGCACAAAGCTCCTGTTATGATCTAAGGAGAGTCAATGTGCACAACCTTACCCCAGCAAGCAGAGAGACTGTTTCTTTGACTCAAAATCTTATCTTTCTAAGACATTATACATGGACAAAAATCAAGTATATTAACCTTCCAGTGTTACAATGTGTTAAAACAGAAATCTTTTCCAAGCTGTCTAGGTTGGATCGAAGATGTTTGGCTCCATGAAATCCAATTGCCTTGTTAGAAGCAACATCATCAATAAGCATAGTTTCAGCAGCATCAATATAAGCCTGGAAACAAAGGGGTGTTAGAGCACAAGCATATAAAGTGGAGATATCACCATGAAGGTATAATTTTTTGGAGATAGGTATAATATGTATAAGATAAAAAAATAGCAGAAAACATACATATACGGGGGTAATTTTTGTTAATATAGCAAGTATTATTTAAACTTCAATGTTTAATTTATACTACAAGTTATTGACCACCTGGATGACAAGTAAACGTCACTGATAACCATATTTTAGCAGAGAAGTTATACAAATTATTGCAAATGCTGACTGATAATCTTACTAGCACAACTGACAACTACAAAAAACTGCTTAACTGCTTTTCTAGGTAAGTTAGGCGTGAAGCCCATAGGAAAAATGTAAATGTGTTTACATGGATACAAAAGACAATATCATAAGCGTGCTAATTCTCAAAAGAAGATATTGCATTAATACCCAATGAATATGTGGCCAGCCCCATATTGTTTCAAAAGAATTCTAAAAATAGGCACATAATATTTGGCCCCTTTTGGGGGAAGAACATTGTTGTACATGGCCACTTTGGCTTGTTAATAAATATTTTCTTGCTTCCACCTAGCAATACTCATCCCAGTTTCACCAACAATTTTCAGGTTAAGGAAGTGTTAAACCGAAAAATAAAGGTTTTAAAAATAATTAAAGACAGAGGAGAACGTACAAATGCAATCAGATGGCAGTCTAATAAACAATCAATGGGAAGCTGGTTCAGATGGTAATTTAATTATCATGGAAGCAAATAATTCCAAAAGAAAATTTGCCTTGGATAAGAGGATCAAAATCAAGGACAAGACAGTTGGAATTTGGAAGTGTCATCTAAATAGAACAATGGGAACCAAATTGGAAGAAAAGATGGGAGGAGTAGATAAATGGCTGTTTTCGAAAGAACAGAGAAATTTATTGAGATATAAGAGAATGAAGTTGTCTACAAAAGAGGGTGACCTGCAGCACCACAGCTGCTCCTTTGCCACCTAGGTGACCAGGGTTCAAGGTTCACAAAAAAAACATCTTAGTATAGAATGCAACTGGCATGGACCATGAGGAAATGGAACATGCTCTGCATGCAGATGGGCAATCCTTGGTATAAAGAGAATCCAATTTTACAAATTAGTATACTGCAGAAAGAGCTGCAGTTTCAATCTTCAGGTTCATAAATCTAGCCAAATAATAATACTGTCATTGTGGCAGTGAACATATGAATGAGATTGAGAGACAAGCATAGCCAAGAATGTCACTTTGTTCAAGTATGTCACCAGAAAGCTAGAAGTATAGTGAAGGACAAAAAATGAGTTTTACAGAAATTGCAAGTGCCATTTATGTAGCTGATATCAACTGAACAGCAATTCTTTAATAAAACGAAAATTGTTTTTTAATTAAAATAATGATGCTAACAGTTCAAGCCCTATTTTATCCTTCGAAAAACATCTACTTATTTTTCTATTGTAATAAAACAAATCCATTAAATGACCTTATGTGTAGATGCTTTCATGTTTCAATTTTTATCATCGGTTCTGCAAGAATTCCATTAGCAAATTTGGGGATGAATATACTGATTAATTTTGTAATACCAAAGGAGAAATACATTTGGATTTTGGATGATCATAAAATATCACTTTGTAATGAAAGTCATAAACTTCATCAATCACAACCTAGGCCCGTTGAACATAAATGTTCTCATACTAAGGAATCATAATATGGTACTTCAAAGATGCAACTAATATAACCAACCTGAAAAACAGTTTTTGCCTCAGTGGCTGTCTCTACCGTCTTTAACACAAGGCTCCGAAGCTTTTCAACAGCATCCGAAAGATTCACAGCGGTTGGCCGGCTGCCATAAACAAGTCGTGTCAAATAAGCACAATGGACCATGCAATGGCAGAAGTTCACCACACTTAATAACAACTAATGCAGAATAAGAATGCTTATCATTGTGCTATTAGTTTGACAATGTCTGAATTAGCGTTAAACCATCAAATGGTACCTAGAAACAAGGTATTCCAATTTCTTGATGAGTAAAGAAGAAGCATCTTCTGATGTTCCATTAAAGTCAAGGTTCCAAACTTCTACAGCTAGTGAGAGGGCTGCTGCTATTGCAATTGCAGGTGCACCACGGACCACCATGTCCCTTATCGCAGTCCTGTAAAGTAAAAAAGAGGTTTGTAAAGGAAGAGACAGATGACATCAAACTAAAAGAAAATAAAGCATAAGAACTTCAACTCAAGACAATATCATAATTACAGGTAAATTCTGATGAATAAACCATCTGTTGAATTCCTCATATTTTTGACAATTATTTTCAAAGAAATAGCCCAACAAAATCTTATATAATAAAAGCCAATGTTTCTTGAGGATCATGACAAAAACCTAAGGACCATAGAAGATCATGACAAAATTCAAAAACAACATGTGTGACAAAATTGGCTTGAAGTACATATCTGTTACAGTTCAATAAGTTGTAGGAAAAAATTAATCAGATATTCAGATGGTTAGCTCATGCCTATTTAATAATTGCATTCAAACTACCTCTCAGAAGAACTGCGATACATTATCTTCTTGGTTAAGAGAATCAAGTGGCATTTTTTTTTTATAAGGTGAATACTTAAGGCCCTTCATTTCCCATAGCCACCTATGTTCCAAAGGGAAAAGACAACACAAAAGATTTATGCACTCAGAATTCGAGAATAAATGAATGTGTCAAATCTTGTTGACAACACAATCCATTTCTTTCAAGTTTAACCAATACGCAAACTGCTCCTAAGTGCCATATCAGTTCACTTACCTAATAAGATTATATAGCGCTGCAATGAACAACCGAAAGGCAATTAATTTAATACAAAATCGAGAAAATTGACATCTTACCTTATTTAAAAATGCAGCAATTTACAAGTGAACGATTATCGATTTGAAATGCAACATATAATCAAAAAATCACAAGAACGTGCTATGAAAATGAAATGATGGCAGTGGTCGAAACCCGCACACGCTAACTCTGCTTGATTCACCTCAAAAATCATTACTTGAACCAAAAGAAGAATCCAAAGCGCTAACAAAAACCAGATAAGCACATCAATTTAATACCGACAAAGAAACAAATAAGGAAGAAAAGGAAACAGATTAAACTCACCATCCGTCCGTTGAATCCTTAACATCCAAATAGACGGTTTCGAGGGGAAGCTTTCTCTGTCCGACACCAAATCAAATCTCGTTACAGAGTTTCGCGCGAGGCGACGAATAATACCAAGCATCCATCAAGCAAAGACGGAGGCTGTACGGACCTGATCAAGGAGACGAAGCGATCCACGCTCGTAGCAGATGGACTGGAGCGAGCCACCGGCGGTGGTAGCGGCCGCGGAGGAACCGTTCGCTTCCGCCGACATCCTTGGAATTCAGCCCTAGATGATTACTCTCCGATCCTTCAGGAGCTCGAGAGAAGTGACGACAGTATATGTATTGGACTCCTCCGGCTACACTCTATTATTTAACCCCTTAAATCTCGAAATTATTTTGATCCGTTGGATTTGCAGCATCGGCCCATCACAGCCGTTAAAAGATGTACATTTAAGCCGTAGCAGTAACAACGCGAAAGACGTAATTACCCTAAAGCCCTTCAAAGTTTCCAATTCTAAATGGTATCTCCGTCAAACCCAGAAATTAAATTATTCTCTTTTTTCAGAGTGTATATATATATATATATATAATTTTGTAGTATTAATATTATTAGATGTAATTTTATTGATCATTGCTTGATTATTTCCATTAGAAAAAGCCTGCTGGATGAAAACTGGATTTTATAAGGGAATATTTCCCTTAAAATTTATACTATTTACATTATCAGTAGAGTCCTTAGAAAAATAATCTCAGGGTTTTACTTTGCATGCTCACTGATTACCATATCATTGTGCACACAAAAGGGGATGTGCAATGCAACAATTGGTGCATGCATGTCAGTTTCTTTGTCTCTGTTGATGGGGCATCTCCTTTTTGTTTATTCTCTGTCAAATTGACAGCTCTGTCACAGACTTTAAGAATCATTATAGCATGCCAAGGAAATAATAATAAAATTGTGTTTAGCTCAAATGATTTAATAATGGTTGAAATCATGAGCACCATGAAATAGTGTGGTAGTACAATATAAAGTAATGATAATTGATGAGCAAGATGGCGAGAGAATACTATTTTGGCAGACATGACAGCACCAATTTGATATAATTTAAGTAACTCACAGGGTTAGAACCAATGAATGATGTTATCTGTCAGCTCCATTGCATGTGATATTGTGACGGTCTAAGTATTAAAATTAAAATTATATGTTTATTATATAAAAAAGATTTTAATATGAAGAATAAAAATTAAATAATCTTATATCGTATATATATTTTGATGTTATTTAAAAAAAATTATCATTTAAAATTTTTTTAACTGATATACGAGTATATCATCGTCCGATAAAATTTAAAATTTATTTTTATTGACTAGTAATTAACGAAGCCATGCTAGTTGCCATTATTTGTGCCCAAAAGTTGTTATAGTGGAGGTTTCCTTGCCAATTCTTATAATAACTTTATACCACAAAATAATTATGTTAATATATATATATATATATATATATATATATATATATATATATATAAAGTGATTTTGAATGTCTAAATTGAACATTTACATCTTTATAACATCTAACCAATGAATGAATTATGTTGTCAACTAATTATCATCATATTGTTTTAGTATTTAATATTTTAATTCAAACCATGTTAGATTAGCATGATTCTTCGTGTCATGTTAAATTAACATGAGCTTGATGCAAGCTTATTGACGGCAAGCAAGAGGGTTCGATAGGATCCAACAAACAATAATTATGTCATACATAACATGTCCAACAAAACTTATTCAATTGTTAAGTTAGAATGATGTTGGACGGATTTGGAAAGTAGAAATAAGTTATGCACTCAAGTTATTCTAGAGAGCTTAAGAAGAAAATTAGCTTGAGTTGATGGAATATAAAGAAGAGATAATTTTTTGTATATGAACAAATATTAGTAGGTCATAAGTAATAATTAAATGGAATCACAATAAAATAGAATATCAAGATTTACGTGGAAAATCCTTCCAATATGAAGGATAAAAACCACGGGACAAACTAAAGAATATACAAATTCTCCTTAAGTAATTACACTAAGAATTTACTATAGATCTGATCTAACATAAGATGAGAACACTGCTGGATGATTGAGAATAATCTCTCTGTATTATCCTCCTTATTGCTGTAGTTTTTCTCCTAAAAAAATCATTGCTACCACACCCCCTAATTTGATTAGGATTAGGTCAAAAGATGAGATAGGCTATGAGATGTAAAAATTCACTATAAACTAAACCTATGGGTTGTCAGTCGTAATAGTTAAAGTTGAATATAAATTTATATATAAAATTATTGATCATACGCCAATCAAACCATCGAGGTAAAGAGTTAGACTTGCTGCTGTGGCGTTGGATTCAAACTCCTTATCAAAATTTGTTAGGCTAGGAATCAGTTACAAGTTCCTATCCCTCCGTATCTAAGTCAATACAAAATACGGTGCATAGAAAAAGATTAAAAAAAGACAAATAATAAGACAAATCTTTGATGCTCAAAGCATTCCCATTCAAGTACAGTAACTGATGGATTGAGATAAAGATGAGACCGACTCCTGGATGAGATCCTCTCATCCCATGTTGATTGTTGTGTGGTCATCCAAAAGCAGCAGTTAACTGTGGTGCGGAAGCGAGCACGTCTCACGGGGCAGACTTCTCCACGGAACCACTTGCTATTGTCTTATCTCGTTTCACATCACAGCAACGATGTCCTTCAATTAATTTGCCCATCATTCCTCAACACTCATCTCGAAGCAGCGTTCCATAGCTACTGTACGGCCTATAAATCAAACCCGTGGCTGTGTGAATCCTTCTGGGATCGATCTCTCTCTCTCTCTCTCTCTCTCTCTCCCCCCCAAAGTAGGGTTCAGCGGGACATGGAATTGTACTACTCCACGAAGCTGTCGATTTCTTCGGATGCGTCTTGCCACTTCTTGCCGGGATGGGGCAGCCATGTCTCCAACTCCAGCAGCCTTAATTTGTCGAGGAGGAGGGGGAGGGGTAGGAGGAATCGGAGGACCTCGTCGCTTCGCTTTTCGATTGCTGCTGCTGCGGCGACCGAGACTGCAACCAGGAAGCTGGTGCCGATATCGAGGCGGAACGAGCCGGCGGAGAGGGTGACCAGCGCCATGGAGCAGCTCGACATCGAGCGCGGCGTCTGCATCCCCTTCCGCAAGTACACTCCCGAGACGGTAGGAACCCTCGACTTGATATGCCATTGTTTCGGCTTTGCGGGTGTTCGATTCCTCCCGTCCTGAAGATAATTGCTCGACTTGGATTGACGTTAGGTCAGGAACAAGGTTCTGGAATCGAGGGGGTCGATACTGTCGCTAATCGGCCGTGGCGTGGAGATCGTCTGGAACTTGGGCCTCTACTGGTCGGCACTCACCTACGACTGCTTAGTTGGAAGGGATGAGGAAGTAGTCCCTTACCGCGCTCGCCAGCTTCGCAAGCTTCTCTGCGATCTTGGCCCATCTTTTATCAAAGCCGGTCAGGTCAATGACTGTCCCATTTCTTTTGGCCTCCTTATCTAGATGGTCTTTAGTTACTAGTTGCTGAAATTGGCCGATGCATGCAATCGTTGTTTAGGTGCTAGCAAATAGACCGGATATAATTCGAGAAGATTACATGAACGAGCTCTGCATTCTCCAAGACGATGTCCCTCCTTTCCCGAGTCAGGTGGGGTTTTGATTGCTGCTACAAATAATTTCTGGGTTGAGGATTTCTCCTGATTGACTTTGAGCATGGAGCTAACTTGCAGGTGGCATTTGCTATCATTGAAGAGGATCTTGGGCAACCACTCGAACAGGTGTTCAGTAGAATTTCGTCGCAGACTATAGCGGCTGCCAGCTTAGGTCAAGTTTACCGTGCCACTCTACGAGAAACAGGGGAGGATGTTGCTATAAAGGTTCGAAGACTATCAACTAAACACACTTACTGAATAGTAAATTGAGTTTCCAACTATCCCAAATACTTAAGCTATTATGAAAGGACCCAATTTGTAATAAAACTCTAACTTTTTCCTTCACATGTCGTTGAACATTGCACAAATCCTCCCAGGTAAAATAATAAGAGAGGAGCCAGAATTCAAACTCATGACATACTCTGATACCATGATAAAGATTTTTGTTGAGCTACCATTTATCCTATAAGCTTAAGTTATTAGGAAAGAGTTCAATCTATAGTTTAGCACTTTATAGCTTCTATTTCTTATCAAAAGCTTAAGTTGTTAGGAAACATCTCAAGTTATGCCTTGAACATTTTATAATGTATTAATTTTATTAGTTTTTAGCCATCCGTTGTGAGTACCAATGCAAATAGCTCATATGGTATGAAAAACAGTAATTCAGAAAGCATTGAGTGGGAAGTTATTGGAGACGTGTTATTAATTTTTTCACATGCCCTTCCTTTTTATGACCAGATGCATACTATAAGTCACTGTAGAATATAATTCTGAGTCTTATATTTCATTAGATGAGAAATGAATAAATGATGCATGGTAATTGTTTTCTCTTCTCAAATCTTGTAATTTTTGAACTAACTAGTATGATCTTCAGGTGCAAAGACCAGAGATAGAGCCTATAATTTACCGAGATCTTTTTCTCTTCCGCAATCTGGCTTCATTTTTGAATGGTATCAGTCTGCAGAAACTAGGTTGCAATGCAGAGCTTATTGTTGATGAATTTGGTGAAAAGCTATTGGAAGAACTTGACTACACTCTTGTAAGTCTGCCTGATGCTGTTTTTGAAAACAAATGGTACTGAACTCATTTTAATTGAAACCATATTATGGAAGATACCTTATTTTTGCTAATGTCTGAACAGGAAGCTCGGAACATTGAGGACTTTTTGGAGAACTTTAAAGATGATCCAACTGTTAAGATCCCACGCGTTTATAAACAATTCTCTGGTCCACGTGTCTTAGTAATGGAGTGGATTGATGGCATTCGATGCACTAATCCACAGGTTAATTTGCTAATGAGAAATTATGTCTCTGTTATTCCACCAGTTTATTTTAGCTGAATCTTCTGAACTTTACATGCATTTCTTTATTGTGAAGTTGGAAGAAAATATTGCACATTTATTCATTTAACATTAGTAATTGATTTTTCTTAACTTACTTTTGGTAAAATCAGGCCATTAAAGCAGCAGGCATCGATGTAAATGGTTTTTTGACAATTGGGGTTAGTGCTGCATTGAGGCAGTTGCTAGAATTTGGGCTGTTCCATGGAGATCCACATCCTGGAAATATCTTTGCCATGCGCGATGGCCGTATTGCTTATGTTGATTTTGGAAATGTGGCCGA